CGTTGATCCCAATAGGCAATTCAGTTAGTCTGTGTAGGATGCGTTGGCGGATGGCAAAGCCAACTCCATAAATGCTGTTTCTCTCTGAAGCAGGCTTACCCTTCTAGAAGAAAGTATAACCAGACCTGGAACTTTTGCCAAGGCAGCAAGGGACATGTTCGCGGCCAACAACCTGCCAAACATGGAATTCCCAAACGATGTGCCTTCTACCAAAATTTTCAACTTAATATACAAACCAGAGAACACTGCAAATCAAGAACCATCGACTCAACAACAGACTATCTCAGACATACCACCCGAGCCAGCAAGCGAGGAGGAAACGATGGATGACGAAAACGAAGATGAAACCACCACAATAACAGAACAAGCCGCCAGAGTCAGCACCCCAAAAAAGAATCAAGCAGGAACTATGGCACCACCACCACCTTCACCCAGAAAGACCACGGAGACCAAAGACCTAGGGTATGAAACTGGTCTACGATTTTTCTCCACTACAGCTCCCCCCATAGTCTCAGCAGAAAGACTGTTGGCAGAAATAAGGCAAGGCAAGATAAATTACACATACTCAGACAAAACCTAGATGACACACATATTGAAACAGTAATCAAGAGAGGAAGAATGGCGCAAACCAGCTCTAGGCACCAGCCTTCAAAGTAAACAAACGTAAAATAATCCAACACAATGTTTTAGCATGGATCCCACAGAGAGTAAGCGAACTATATAACACCTACTGTAAGATAGAGCCAATATTATCCTCATAAATTCGCATGGTAAGAAAAACTCAGAAAATATAAAAATATTTAACTACATAGTCTACCAAAAAACAACCAAGACACACAACATGATGGAATAGCCATAGCCATCAAACGAAACATACAACACAAGATACACGACTCATTTCAAGAAAACTTTCTGGCGATCGAAATTAACTGCCTAACAGGACCTATTATAATCGGCACCTGTTACCTCCCTCCGAGAAGACCCATATTCCCCACGACACCGCGTCTTGGGGCACCAGGATAACAACGCCGTATGGCAGATCTCAAACACATTACAGTACTAAGTCACGGCAACGCAATACACCTTAGCCCGGAATTCCCAACATACATCAGAGCAGGTCACATCGGACATCCAGACTTAGTACTAACAAACAGCATCACCATCTTAACCTGCAAATGGAACGCGGCCCAATAACCACAAGTGACCATCTCCCTATCGTAGCCACACTCTCCTCGTCGCCAATACAGATCCCTGCCAGGATGACCAGGATGAGATACAGCTACAGCCGGTCCAACTGGGAGGAATTCCAAAAGGAGTTAAGCAATCACCAAATCACCCAACTAAACATAAACACAGGTCCCAAATAGACAACACACTTGAGATATGGTACGAAAACGTGATCCAAGCAATGGAACACCACATACCCACGATCACTCACCGTACATTACCACACCCACACTACTCACATCAATCAAGAATTGTAGAGACACAATTTAGTAATTTAAGTTCATCATAAAACAAGGATGGTCGCTAGAATACAGAAGACAATAAAACACCATACAAGAACAACTAAGAAACATGTCCAAAGAAGCATACGTGAATAACTGGGAGAAACTAATAACAGACACAGAAACAAATTACCACAACCCGAAAGAATTCTGGCTGAAAATTAAACACCTACTGGGAATCTCCAGCAACGAACCAAACTACATTCTAAACAGCAACCAAATCAAATTAACTGAACCCAAAGAACAAGAACCTGAATTCAGGATATATTGGAGCAAAATATTTCACATAAGCCAGGAAGACAACCTGAACTTCTGTTTAAACACCGAGCGACAAGTAACCAATCACATGACTCACACCACCCACATCTGGCAACCAAGTCCCAACATAGACATAAACACTCTCGATAATTTATTGTCACTAATCAGACCAATCACCGTGAACGAAATTCACAAAACATTAAACATTTTCAAGAACAAGGCCCCAGGTGTCAGTAAAATAAACAAACCCATACTCCAGCATCTACCACTCAACATGATACTCCAACTCAGAAACATTTTTAATGCATCATGCGCCTCTGGTTACTTCCTAAGGAAATTTAAAATAGCAAGCATCAGACTTATACCAAAACAAGGTAAATCCCCCACACAAGTATCAAATTACAGACCAATCTCTCTTCTAGAAACACCCGGAAAAGTCCTAGAAAAATAATTAACCACCGACTGAGAATACACTTCGAACTTGAAGTGAAGTACAACCCCAGGCAGCACGGATTTAGAAAACACAGAGGAACCCATACAGCCTTAGCCCTAATTTACGAAAACATAGCAAACGCAATGCACAACAGGGATCAATGTGACTTAGTATTAAGGGACGTAGCAACAGCATTCGACAAGGTCTGGCACCGAGGGCTCAAATACAAAATTACCACCCAAGAACTTCTCAACAACTTTACTTCCTTTCTTTGTAACTTCCTCGACAACAGAGGCCAAAATTATCATTAGTAGCCACATAGGCCCAAGCATCAAGTTATACAGCGGAGTACCACAGGGAAGTAACCTCTCGCCAACACTCTACACAAAATACACGGCGGACATGCCATCTCCTACACACGGAGAATACATGGTAGCTTATGCTGATGACGTCACCCAAATCATCTGACATCCAGGCAAGGGCAAACAGATGATGGCACGAAAGACAGCCCACGCCATCGAGCAAATCAACGAATATGAAAAAAAAAGTGGAAAATCCAAACCAATACACAGAAACTAAAGATAATACACATTGCCAAAATATACCCAGCACCAATCACAGTCAACAACGAACCTATACAATACTCCAACGAAGGCAAAATTCTGGGACTCACAATAACAAGAACAGGCATAGCAAAACACATAACACAACGCAAAATGCTTGCCCAATCACAACTTACAAAACAACGAAGATTTAGCAAAATGGACACCAAAATTCAACTACACCTATTCAAAGCACTTTTCCGCCCCCACCTAGAGTATCCACTCAGCAGGATCAGCAAAACCAACCAACTTAAACTTCAATCAGTACAAAACAAAGCTATCCGTATAGCATCAAAGCAACTCCCGCCATACACCACCAAAATACAAGAACTTCACGAATTATACAATATCGAACCACTGAACACACGTACATACAGCCAAGCCCAGAGAATCTGGAGCAAACTTGAAGAGTTGTAGGAACCAGTCTTCTCCCAGTTAAAAGAAGAAGTAACTATTAAAACACACAGCTGGTGGCCCAAGAGCCTCCATGCTGACATAGTAGAACAAGACCCACTTTACACATATATGTGAACAAATAACACCACCATCTAACAAACATAAATTAACACACATTACACTAATGAATACCTAGCTAGCTTAGCTCTTCCCTCCCCTCCACCTGCCTCCCTTGAGCGGGCAGGCGTCTGCTGTGTGTGGCCACCACCCCAACCTATCAACTCGTCTCGGCTAGGTGGACAGCCCACCTGCTATCACCTCCTACTACTTTACTTCCCGTTTCTATGCTTTACTTCTCTCTCTCCTCTCCTCTTCCAGGGCAAAGTTATTTGCCACTTTACTCCATTATCATCATCATCATCTTCCGTTCTGTGAGTTGACCCTCGTCTGGGAACCGGGACTCACTAATGACTGCTACGTCGATGTTATACCTAGCCAGCTCTTTCGCCATAAAGGCGGTTCTTCTTTCAGGAAGCTTATTTATGCCAGTCTCCAGATGGCTCCTAACGTTCCATGCAGCGACAAAAAAAGGTTGGATAGTTTGTTTTTGTTTGGGTCTGTGATTTTGATTGTGTTTTTGACCGCATACAGATGACCTTACTGGGTGCTGTTGCCCAGTCAATTTTATTCTTTTTTAGGCAGTCTATGTTTAGGCTACCTTTTCTAGCCCCCTCCCCATGTGGGGTGAGCACAGTGGCTCCTCGAAAGGGCTGCTCAGTCGCACAGACAGGACCGGATTGCACTGCTGCCTAGATCCTAGTGCATAAACGACCATCTTATCTGTACTGCCCATGCGCAGAGTTGGGACTAGAGACTCTCGGCAGTCATCTCTGCCTGTCCCCGTCGCCATTCGTCCGTCGCCATAGAATTTTTAGGGGTGTAGGGGTTTTGATGACGGGACGTATGTTGAGCTGGATGACGGTTGCGAGTGAGTTGATTAGGTGAGGCAGGAGCGCAGGCAGCAACCACACATCTTGGCTCTCCCTTTTTCTGATGCAGTGGTGTACGTGTTGCAACGACTGGGGAGAGGGAGAATAGTAATGGACTGCAGATTGCCCAGTTTGTTGGATTTCGCCTTAGTGGCCTGTCTATCAGGCATTGTCTTCGTCCGCCGGTGAAGTCGTTTTGTTCCCATGGTGGTCACCTCCTCCGCCTACACCGCCATGTAGGAGCTCTGTAAGCATGTCGGCCTAATGCGGGGCTCCACCACAGATGTTTCGTTTGGGGTTTACTCCTGTAGACTTATACCTACCAAGGTTAATCCGCAAGGCAGCGGGGCAATGGTTGGTAGGCGCCAGGACGTGTCCACATATACGTGGGCCTATGCGCCGTCCCTCTGGGGTCCACTGCTACTTCGAGGTCCCTTGCTGGTCTAGCCTGGGCCCACGAGGAACCCAGTTACCGTGAGTTGCCACAAGGAGGCACATCAGGAGTCTTGAGGATGACGAAGCTGTGTACTGGCAGGGGAAGACTTATACAAGTTGCTTCCTTGTTCGCCACGAGAGCTAGCCAGCGGTGGTAACTAAAAGCGAGAGGAAGCAAACAGTGCTTGCACCTTAACACTAACATAATGCTTCGACACTAGACGCATTTCACTACCCTGTGTTACACACAGACACACACACACACACACAGTGTGTGTGTGTGTGTGTGTGTGTGTTTCTCCTTATTTCACCTCTTTCTCTCTCCCTCACCAATAATAATGTTATAATTAAGATCACTAATAAACAGCAGCAAACTTACCTCTTACTTATAGCTGGGACAAGAGGGTTGTTCTTCTGCCCTATAGTGGATAACAAAATTGGCAAAAACCTCTCTCTAGACGAGTAAAAGTCACATCTCCCTGTTGAGTCAATAAGTGAAAATTATATATATAAGTATATATATATATATGTATATATATATATATATATATATATATATATATATATATATATATATATATATATATATATATATATATATATATATATCGATAAAAACACACAGGAAAAGGGAAGCAATGGAGCACCTTAGCTTTTGTCTTTATAAACTTGGGAAAATATTGAAAGACCCAGTATTATTTTTTTTAACGTTATTCAACTTAAAAACATGACGGAAATAAAATAGTAAAAGTATTACTGAATCAAAAAAATGGGAACACTATCTAAAATGCATAAATCAAAATAGCTATTAAATAACCGAGTTATACCTAGTGGAGGCTGAGTTTATCAACATATTTGTTTTGTGTTGAAAGGTTGACATGTTTTCATTTTCAGATATATTATAAGAATGATATATCATAGAGCTCACCATTTGTTGTAGGCATATCATTGACGGTTATTGACAAGAGAACATCTCTTTTTACAGATTGAGTCATGATGGATAAAGAGGAGCTCAGGTGTGTATTGTGCCAGATATCCATATCTTCAGACCAGCTAAGATCTAAACTAACACAGAAGGGTTGTGATGGCATCAACAAAGCAAGTGAGGCAAGGCATGATGTCATTTGCGCTATTCCTGGGCAATATGTTCACCAGGACTGTCGCAGAGTTCAAATTAACCCTCATTGTATAGAAAAATCCAATCGTAAGATGGCTTATGATTCTTCAACTTCAACTAGTGAGAAACCAACTCTGAGATCCTCAATGGGAACGTTTGAATATGCTGCACAGTGCCTCTTGTGGACTCAGAGATCCTCGACAAGGCAAGAATCCAGAACTAAAACTTATTCCAATCAGGACATTTGATTTTCAGAACAGTATTCTAGAATCGTGCAAAAAAAGGAATGCTGAGTGGTCACGTGTAGTTCAAGGAAGAATCGAATTTATCCATGACCTACATGCTGCGGATTCTGTGTACCACAAGACATGCAGCACTAATTTCAGAACTGACAGACTTATTCCACTCAAATTACAGCAGGATGAAGATACATCTGCAAAACGAGTGAAAGAGGGAAGACCACAAGATGTATTACACGCTGAAGCCTTCCGAAATGTAATCCAGTACTTGGAATGTAATGATGAAAAAACCTTTATAAATGACCTTGTAGAGAAAATGGCAGAGTTTTTGTCAGACACACAAGCCCCACCATACAGTGCAACTTATATGGTAAGCCAAATGTGTCACTTTGTGGGGCAATGCAACAAATATATTGCAAGAGTTCAATTCTCATTCAATGGAGATGAACACTCAACAAGAAAAGGATCTTATCATTAAAACTGCTGCCAGACTAATAAAAAATTACATAAAGATGTTAGAACAAGAGGCTGATATGCATCCTTCATGTACATAAATGGCTTCACGTGAAGTTGCTTTTAAGTTCTTACCAAAATCCCTCCAATTACTTCTTAATGATATGTTTATTGGTGGGAACAGCAAGACGAAGATAGCACCAATCATACAAGTGATGGTACAGGCCACTCGACGTCGTGTCATACTATCCCCACTACACCTTGGACTTGGCATTCAGCTCCATCATCATTTTGGCTCAAAGTTCCTCATTGACACTCTTCATAAAAATGGATTCACCTGCAGCTACAAGGAAATCACCAAGTATGAACGCAGTGCAGCTGTAACTCAGGGTATGAAAATCCCTTATATGTCAAAGGATAAGATACAATACATAGCTGATAGTGTAGATCACAATATTCGAACAATCGTTGGACATAATACTTTCCATGGAATGGGCATCATGGCCACAGTGTCCCCAGGCACAGTGAGCACAACAACAGTTCCCAGAGTGAAAGTAACCATTGGAGAAATTGCTTCCATTGGTCGCATCAATATACACCACTTCTTGCCTGCAGTTGAAGGTATTCACCAAATGAAGTATGAAAATTTACCAGAGTATGACACAGACTATCTCACAGACTATCTCTGTTTTGGGATATATCACTCAGTCTTAAAGCACGAAGACCCTCTTGGTCTGGTATGATGCAGATGATCAACAAAGAGGACAATCGCCCTGGCAAATCATCCATGTTATTCTTACCAATGTTAGACATAAATCCTGGTGACACAACTTGTATACAGTATATTCCACAATGAATTATGTGAGGGAACATGCTACCCGTCTCAATGCTACGCTCTTCCTCACATTTGATCCGGCACTTATGATACAAGAAAGCCGTCATTCTGAAAATGTCATTAGAATTATTTTGTTGCGCCTTGAAGGCCTCCATACTCAAATGAGCTACCTTGGTTGCATTAGTAGAGTGTGTCAATTTAGGGGGTGAACTGGCTAAATTGAAAATCGAGTAATTTAGTAGCAATTTATTGTAGTCTTTAAGCATGCAAAACAATATTCTGGCATAAATTTTTTTTTATAATAAGTCCTACCTACATCAAATGGATTTTTAAATGTACATATTTGTGAATTTATAACATAACCAGCGTTTGCACACATGTTACTGTTTCAAGTTTCAAATTATTATATTTTATTATCCGTAGTCTATTTGAAAGTAACCAATGCCTTCATACTCTCTTTGCTTTGGTTTCTTGTCATCAGTAGTCTGCTTGCTATTTGTGCTTTGATGTAACCTTCTCGCCTCTCGTGGCTGTAAACATGGCCCGCTGCTTCTGTGACCATTTTCACACATCTCTCCACACTTTGAGTGTGGGAAGGCCACTTCGGCACCTGCATTGGAGTCTCTTTAAGGTTTCTCAATTCTTGGCTAGTTAGACTTGTTGTCAATGGTGGCTCTAAGACTTCCAAACTCAAGTCAACCAATTCTGACAATTTGGTGGCATTGACGTTTATTGGGGGAACTTTTCTTGAATGAAACGAACAGTCTCCCAACTGGTCGTCATCTATTAGCGTTCCTCTAATCTTTAGAATGACTTCTACAGCCTCGGTTCGGAGATTGGTACATTGACTGCAAAGCATTGCTTGCAAAACTGCTTCTGATCGAGCATACCAAGCGGACCTTCTTGCCACAGGTAACACGATGTCCCTCACTACCTTCCTCTGTGTTCTTACTAGCTGCAATTGAAACAAAAGGTGATTGGGCCTCTTTATGTCTAAACTTGAGATTAGCAAACAAAAATGAATTGAAATAACCCTCACCTACATCAATTATACCTTAAAGTTTCAAATATCAGTATTTCAACAAATTAATGAGATTTGATTAGAATTATTCACTTGATATTAACTAATCTCATGTAAGCATATGGATTATGGAGTATTTTATGGTTCTATATCTTGTGTACAATATGCATGTCAGAACATGAACATGAACAGGCTCTCCGTGTGGGACAGTTTAATTCTTGTTTTGACTTGTACCAAGCGTGAGGATAAGGCGCCCGGCTCACTCTCCTTCTAGATATCATAGACGGTGGTTTGCTCTCATTGCACTTGCACCTACTCTACCAGACGAATTCTACATTTTAATTATTGTAAGTAGGGCATATTGATTGTCGCAGTTACTTATATCATTGTATAAAACATTATGTTCTAAGAAATTATTATGTTATTTCTGTTACAGCATTTTTGATAAACAATTTGATATTTTTTGAAACAACAATTGAATTATGAAACATTGAAATATTTTTCTATTTGTCAGATAGTGTGAAGATGTCAAAATTGAAGACAAGAAGTCAGTTGTCAACCCACTTGAGCCTGCTAGTTGGTAAAGGGAAGGAGCTTCCTGTATCAGAACTTCCAACAGTGAGAGACATGCTAAGATTAGGGTTACTCCTTCGAGAAAAAAATGCAAAGGACAGAAGGAACTATACAGATAAAGAACTCATAAATGACATGATAGTCCCTCTTCTGCATCAATGGACAAAAGCTAATGCACTATTCAAACCACCTGTGATTAATCAGTGTCGAACTATTGAGCTAAAACTAACGAAATTATGGCACAAAGCAGTTGAAACATCACTTGGTAAAGGAAACTTGGCCAGGAAAAATGAATTTCTGCACACACTTGATACTCTGTTTGACATTTTGACCTGCAAGTGCTCCATACAATTATGTTCTGAATCCAACTGTTCTCACTCAGGTAAGAGAGAAAATAATTCCCACATTGATTGTGGTTGTCCTCGTGAAAAGAAGATCCCTGTTTTAGAGCTTGAATTTATAAAGGCACAGAGGACAAAGGCAGAAGGCCAAGGAAGTATGCAAATGGGTTCAATAGATTATTCAGAAACAAAGAAGCAGATTGCTAATGCCAAGAAGAGAGAACAAATCCGAGAGAGGGAACAAAAGAAGAAAATGAAGAGTGAAGAAGCCATCCAAAGAGAGGAAGAGCTGTGTCAAGATGTTTATCACTTCTTTGATAGTTCTTCTGATGAACAGGAAGCAACATCAGATGATAGTTCCAAAGAGCCATCTGAACCTTTACCAAAGAAAATGAAATACAACACAAGAAATATTTCAAACATTGCTTTAGCTAGTATTCGCCACCATGCTGGACTTCGTGAGGCTGCAGAAATTGCAACTGCCGCTTGGATAGATGCAGGCCTCATCAGCCGAGAGGATGTATCTTTGGTGATAGATCATAATAAAATTAGAAGAGCACAAGAAAAAATAATGAAGGAAATATCTGATCAGCATGAAAAAGATTTAAGCGAGGGAGGGCTCTCCTGTCTTTTGTTTGATGGAAGAATAGATGACACAAAAGTTTTGCTAGAAGTAGAGGGAGTGAACAGAAAGTTTCCAGGTCTCATCAAAGAAGAACACTACTCTGTCTGTTCTGAGCCTGGTGGTCGGTTTTTGTTTCACTTTGCTCCCGAAACTGAAGTAGAAGGGAAGAAACATGCAGAGGTCATTGCTGATCATATTTTATGTTGGGTTCAGGAGAGAGGACTTGGCAGTTCACTGCAGGCTGTTGGTGGAGATTCAACTGCAGTGAACACCGGATGGCAGGGGGGTGTAATGACGCATTTAGAGAAAAAACTAGGAAGAAGACTTGTTTGGATTGTATGTGATTTACATACAGGCGAGCTACCTCTTCGTCATCTCATCCAGGAACTTGATGGTCCTACAAAGAGCAACAACAAGTGGTCAGGTCCCCTTGGCATCATGCTGGATGAAGCAACACAACTAGAAATAAATACAACCTTTCCAAAGGTCGAAGTTGGCCCTCCCCTTCCGGCGTTGTCTGAAGGAGTCATCAAAGATCTCAGCACAGATCAATCCTATGCTTATCGTATTGCCCAAGCAATAAGATCAGGAGAAGTGCCTCAGTCATTGGCTCTCTTGGAGATTGGACCTGTCAGTCACAGCCGTTGGTTAACTACAGCTCTTCGTTTCTGCAGGATTTGGATTTCCAAACACGAATTGAAGGGCAAAGTGCTGAAGAATTTGAGGTTAATTGTTGAATTTATTATTGGAGTTTATCTTCCCCAGTGGTTTAGTGTGAAACTTAATCCTATGTGGGTGGATGGGCCCAATCACCTTTTGTTTCAATTGCAGCTAGTAAGAACACAGAGGAAGGTAGTGAGGGACATCGTGTTACCTGTGGCAAGAAGGTCCGCTTGGTATGCTCGATCAGAAGCAGTTTTGCAAGCAATGCTTTGCAGTCAATGTACCAATCTCCGAACCGAGGCTGTAGAAGTCATTCTAAAGATTAGAGGAACGCTAATAGATGACGACCAGTTGGGAGACTGTTCGTTTCATTCAAGAAAAGTTCCCCAATAAACGTCAATGCCACCAAATTGTCAGAATTGGTTGACTTGAGTTTGGAAGTCTTAGAGCCACCATTGACAACAAGTCTAACTAGCCAAGAATTGAGAAACCTTAAAGAGACTCCAATGCAGGTGCCGAAGTGGCCTTCCCACACTCAAAGTGTGGAGAGATGTGTGAAAATGGTCACAGAAGCAGCGGGCCATGTTTACAGCCACGAGAGGCGAGAAGGTTACATCAAAGCACAAATAGCAAGCAGACTACTGATGACAAGAAACCAAAGCAAAGAGAGTATGAAGGCATTGGTTACTTTCAAATAGACTACGGATAATAAAATATAATAAATTGAAACTTGAAACAGTAACATGTGTGCAAACGCTGGTTATGTTATAAATTCACAAATATGTACATTTAAAAATCCATTTGATGTAGGTAGGACTTATTATAAAAAAAAATTTATGCCAGAATATTGTTTTGCATGCTTAAAGACTACAATAAATTGCTACCAAATTACTCGATTTTCAATTTAGCCAGTTCACCCCCTAAATTGACACCCTAATATGTAGTGATGATGGATGTTGTTATATGCAGTGATGATGGGTGGTGTTATATGTAGTTATGATGGATGGTGTTATATGTAGTGATGATGTGGATGGTGTTATATGTAGTGATGATGGATGATGATATATGTAGTGATGATGGATGGTTTTATATGTAGTGATGATGGGTGGTGATATATGTAGTGATGATTAGACAATAAAATAATAACAGTTTCATGCTAAAAAAATATACTTTGCTGTACCGTTGTAGTGGAACTTACATACACCGTTAATGAACTAATGATGGAAGAAGAAGTTTTGGGGACTGAACAGTGAGACAATGTGGAGCCTCCCGGAGGGTGGCGTCCTACCGTGGCCTAACGAATGTTGATACAGTAATCGACCAGGACGAAGCAGTCCAGTACCCTGCAGAATTCCTTAATTCTTTGGAACCCGTTGAAATGCCTCCTCACCACCTCACTCTCAAGATTGGAACTCCTATAATGCTCTTAAGAAATCTTGAACCACCAATCCTCTGCAATGGCACAAGACTGGTGGTGAAGAACATGATGCCACATGTACTGGAAGCTACAATACTGACAGGAAAAGCTAAAGGAGAGGACGTTTTTATACCAAGGATACCTCTCATCACCACTGACCTGCCATTTGAGTTCAAGCGACTTCAATTCCCGGTTAAAGTAGGCTTTGCCATGACCATCTACAAAAGCCAGGGACAGAGTCTAAAGATGGTTGGCCTAAACCTGGTGTTTCCTTGCTTCTCTCATGGACAGTTCTATGTTGGATGCTCCAGAGTGGGAACTGGCAAAAATCTGTACATTCGTGCTGCTAATGGCAAAACCTAAAAAGTGGTCTACCTTAATGCACTACAGTGAGACAAAGTGGAGCCTCCCGGAGGTGTATATATACAGAGGAGGGTGAGACCAGGTCCACAATGGTCAAGTAATGACCCTACTAATCTTTAAATAGCACACAACGGTTGGGGGTCAGGTCAGATGGTCAGGTGACCCGGCCTTCTCACCTGGTTACAAATCTTCTTAATTACAAAATTGTCTGTTTTACTTAGGCCAGACAGGTAAAGATCTTGCAACTAGAATTAAACAACACAAATACAGTGTTAGGACAGGCCAGGAATCCAATGCTCTGTTTGTTCATTTGAGGGATAACAAGCATTGCATTGACTGGGATAATGCCTCCTCAATATTACCTTGTAATTCAATTGATAGTAGGAACATCATAGAATCTAGTCTTATTAAACATACCGAAGCATTCAACATGAATTTGAGTAACGGCATGTACAAGCTGGACAATTTTGTAATTAAGAAGATTTGTGATCAGGTGAGAAGGCCGGGTCACTTGACCATCTGACCTGACCACCAACCGTTGTGTGCTATTTAAAGATTAGTAGGGTCATTACCTAATACCTGACCATTGTGGACCTGGTCTCACCCTCCTCTGTATATATACACCTTGATTTGTATTACTCTCTCTAGTCTGTACTCACCCCTGAAGATGTGAATTACACGAAAGCGCTTGGGAACTTCGTGTTTCTTCTTTCCTTGTGGTTATCAGCATATACCTAGATCACGCGCACCTACAGTGATTTACTTGCATATATATATATATATATATATATATATATATATATATATATATATATATATATATATATATATATATATATATATATATATATATATATATATATATATATATATGTTGATAAAAAAGATTGAAAAAACTACGGTGTATTCTTGAACATAAGGTAAATAGCCAATATTTTCTCAGTATTATACCAAATGGTTTTTCTGGACCTTTGAGAACCAGTTGGTTGAATACGACAAACTGGTTGGGACGTACTCTTAACTCTAGTGGATGCTAACACAAGTTCTCAATATAGTATAGCGTTGAGTACCTGTGTAAGAGAAGTACTGGGCAATTATCATGTTTATGACTATCTCCAGGTCCATGATGACGTGGTCACCGCGCCTCACCAATGTGTCGATAGCTTGTGGAAATTGCGACAATAACTTGTACTTGATCCTGCCCTCAGCCTCCTTTTCTGCAATCTCGCGGAAGATGCCAGACTCCACAGACTGGGAATGATCGTGATATACAAGTATAGTATTCTTGAAAGCCTACACCGGGATAACACGTGCCAGTTATGTGGTTCTAGTAGCATTTTACAGATTCCAGTTAGAAAGCACGAACCCTGTTCACACGTAGAGTTCCCGAGTTCGATTCCTAATTATTGAGGTATTGTTTGTACAGAATACTTAAGTCTGTGTATATATGGACTCTTGGGGCATATTGGTAGCCTCGCGCTTTCTAGCTGGAGTGTCTGTAAATTGCTGCTACAACCACATTATTGGCACACTTTATCCTGGTGGAGGCTCCTGTTGGTTAAGAATAAGAGGAAGGAGCAGGACCCGAAACTGTGAAGACCGCCCTCTCTCTTGTGCCATTGTTTGGCCATCTTCCCGGATCGGACCACCCACGACTGACATCGTCAACAACAACTCACGAGCGTTTCCGGTTTATCGAGCATTAGCTTGCCCTCCCCACTGGTGGTGTGAGCGACCAACACTCCAGCTGGAGAGCAGTTATAGCGCGATATTCCCGGCGTGGTTTGAGCTCTTTTCCTTCTACTACTATTTTCCTTTTTCGCTCTGGCCTAGGGACCTGCACCCTCAAAAGTGTATTCGTCCTGCGGTCCCCCCTGTAACTGTTCACCTCCCTCCCAGGAGATTGTGAACACGAAAGGGGGTTGGAGCAAAACCCATCCCAGCCGAGTCTTTCCAGGAAAACCGTGATCGTGCGGGTCCACCTGGAAAGAGGGTAGCAATCCTTATCCTTCCCAAATAGGCACACTTAGCTCACGTCTATAAGTGAGCAGTCACATACACTAGGAAGTAGGCTTCCCCAACGGGGCTCCGGGAGAGAAGCTCAGGAACCACTCTACGACCACCAGCCAGTGGGGAGTGCTGAAATTCCTCTGCTACTTACTCAACCGGAATAGGTAGGATTTAAAATTAAAAAAATAAATAAAAAAAAAAACGGTTATGGAGCGCGTACGCCCTCCTAACCGCGACCCCCGCCTGAACCGCCAACCTGACGACCCGAACTACGACAGGCTCCGCACAGAGAAAGCGGACCAGTTACGCGCCTTCAATGAAGCCCTGAAAAGTAGGAACACTGCCACCACCTCCAACAACTCCACCACCACTGCTACCGCCACTGAGGACGACAACTGGACGAAGGTAGAAAATAAAAAACGCCGACGTGCTTCTTCGGGAAACGAATGCCGTCAAGCAGCCCAAAAGGCACCCATCACCACCACCAGCTCACCTCCAACGACACTGCCAAAATTCCGGATCACGAAAACGGACACAAAAACGACATACGCCGCCATCACAGAGATAGAAAAGCAAAATCCAATGGCCAAGTTCTCAGTGCGGCCCAACCTAAAGGGGGAGATGATTATTCACCCCAAAGACAAGGACACTTACCTGCAAAACACCACCACCGTTGCATCAACCAAGCTAGACCCCGCCCAGAAACTGATGAAGTCGGTAGTCCTCCGGTACCCAAAGGAACTACCCCTCGAACCCCTGGAGAACCACCCGAAGATCTTAAAAGCCGAGAGATGCTCTCCCCTGTCCGACAAGACGGCCACCACAAAACAAGTGCTCATAACGCACTACGGTTCACCCCCCAGCACCATAGACCTCAAAACCTGGGGGATCTACGAAGTGAGGCCCTTCGTCCCAGAGCCCCTGCGGTGCTTCAGATGCCAGAAATACGGGCACCATCAGACAAGGTGCACGTACAAGGAAATCTGCGCAGTCTGCGCACAGAAGCACGGCACACACTCCTGCCTCACCAAGCTGAAAAATGGAGAAAAAATTTCCCCCAAGTGTGCCAACTGCGGGGGCAAACACCACGCCTGGAACCCTGGATGCTCCGAGAGGACAAGGAGGGTCCAGGCAAACCGGCCAGCTGCAAGACCGGCTCCCACCGCCTGCACACCAGCCCCACCAAGTACCTTCGTGTGGGGAACCCAAAGGCCAAGACAACAAAGCCAACCTCCTCAGCCGGTCAACACCCAAAGTGCAGCCCAGTTTCCTGGCCTCACTACGGCCACACCTCAGCCACCCAAGCAGCAGACAACGACAACCACGAAAAAGACAAAAGAAGCACACACCAAAGCACCAGAAGGAATGATACACGTATCAGACCTAGCCAAGGTACTGACAACCTTCGCGGAGGGCCTAGCCGGACTACTGGGCCACAAGATCCAACCCACACAGCTCCAAATACTCATGGGGAGCGTCCTCGGGCAAGTCGCCACAGCTCCAGCCACCTCAGTGGAGGAAGCCACGCCGGTCCTCACACGAGTGACAGCCGAGGTACACTGTACACCGAAGAAGGCCACCAGAGAACCCAAGATACCGACAGCTCCCAGAAAGAAATTGATAGTTTCAACTCCCCTGAACCGAACCACGGCCCAGAAGGCAAAAACCACAGAACACGAAGACATGAACCTGATCCAGTTGGAATCGAACTTGGACATCTCCATCGAGGACCACCAGAAGTCCCCGATGAAACAGTGGTGGAAAACATCAGCACCCTGAACATCCTAACATGGAATGCTCAGGGTATCACAAACAAGAAACACCTCCTACAAGAAGCAGCAGCCAAGGACAAGCTTGACATCATACTGCTACAAGAAACACTTCTACAAGAACACCACTGTTTCAAATTCAGTGGTTACAAGACATACAGGAGGCATTTCACGCAGGCGTCAACAAGAGGATGTATGATCCTGGTCAAGTCAAGCATACCCTCCTCCGAGGTCACGCAGCAATTTCCATGTGGGGAAAACATCGAGACACAGGCCGTCAAAGTAACCCTCCAAGAACGGGAATTAACTGTTCACAACATCTACAAGAACCCAAGGGGCTCACTGGAGGTTACTCAATTATTTGCTTCGGCCGCTGACCACGCCACACTCATAGGAGGGGATTTCAACGCACATCATCCCTTCCTAAGCTCGGCAAGCCCCACAAATGAAGACGGCCTACACCTATACACCACCTTTCAAGATACACCCGAGATCTGCCTCCTGAACACCGGAGAGCCCACCCACACTAGGGGAGGAAGGCTAGATCTAACCTTCGTCTCCAGTGCACTACAGCCTTCGGCCTCCTGGCAGCTACACCCCACGCTGACCAGCGACCACTTCGCCACCCTAACAACGCTGAAGGTGAACAAACTCCCCACTCCACCCCCTCCCCCCGAGATGGAGATACAATACCCAAAAGGCAGACTGGGGACTCTTTAAGAAACACCTGGCTAAGTGGCGCGAAAAATCACAGCCGGCCGGCGCAGCACCCATGGACGAGACAACCCTCCACCAACAATTGGTCGAGGCGTTTCACCAAGCGGCAGAAGAGGCTATCCCAAAAACAAAACCCACATCAAGACAGTACAATGATTACTGGTACTACTGTCCCAGGGTGAAAGAACTCAACCACAGAGTGAACATGGCCCGAAGAAACTACAGGAGACATCCCACGGCAAACAAACAGACATCTCCTGCAAGTCATAGTTAAGGATACCAGGGAAGAGAAGGAAGAAATAAAAAACGTAAGCTGGCTCAAGTGGTGCTCCGAACTGAACGAGCACACCTCCCTTGGCAAGATGTGGGCCCAGATCCGAAGGGCATCTGGGAAGGCAACACCACCACCACCAACCCATCCCAACCCAGAAGAGGAAGCCGAGAGACTTGCAAAACTGTTCTCTGACCGAGCAGCAACGAAAAACCTCCCGAGACAGGCGGAGGAGACACAACGGCGTCTGCGACAGGTCAGACTGCAGATGATCGAAGAGGCCTGCAACAGTGAAGATGACACTGACAGACCATTCAACCAGCAAGAACTCCAGAAGTCGCTAAAACGAAGCAAGGACACAGCTCCAGGGGCCGACAGGATAACCTACTCCATGCTTTCTCATGCCGGTACAGCCGGACACGAGGCTCTGCTACAAGCCATCAATGCTTCGTGGACAGCACAAAGACTCCCACCGGAATGGAAGAAGGCAGATATACAGCCCATTCCGAAGCCCAGAGAACCAGACAAACCAAGGCCCATCTCCCTTCTCAGCTGCATAGCGAAGACGGGAGAAAGAATGGCTCTCAACCGACTCAAGTGGAAAGTAGGCAGCCCACACCCTCACATCTTTGCTTTCACCGAGAACACCGGCACAGGCAACAACATTGCCGAGATACTCAGCACAGTGGACTACAAACCAGCTCTGGTGGTCTTCCTCGACCTGGAGAAGGCCTTCGAACTAGTAAATCCACTGGCCATTACAACGACGCTCGCGAAAAAGGCGTCAAAGGAAGGTTGCTGGGGTGGATCCAGAACTACCTCACACAGAGAGAAACAAGAGTACGCTTTCAGGGAGCAACCTCAAGCTACAGGGTCCATGAAAACGGAACCCCACAAGGAGGCATCCTCAGTCCAATGCTGTTCAATGTCCTGATGGAAAATCTAGTCAAACTTCCTTTCAGACAAACAGCCAAGCTCCTATGCTATGCAGACGACTTACAGCTTATAGTAAGAGGATCAAACAGACTAGCCAACACGCAAAACGCACTCCAACTTATAGAAGAGGAGTGCAACAGACTTGGACTCAAGATAAATCCAGCCAAGTCGAAAGCGATGGCCATCTGCACAGACACACCAGACAAGATGCTCTCCATACAAAACACGCCGGTAGTCTGGACCAACACCCACCAGTGTCTTGGAATCTGGTTTGACCAGAAACTCACCTTCAAGCCGCAACTCGAGTATCTCAGGCACAGGACGAAGAGCAGACACAATATAATGAGGTCGCTCACCAGCAAATCCGCAGGAGCAAACCTTCATGTGCTCAAAGCCTACTACACGGCCGCCATCAGATCGCTGGTAGATTACAGTGCTCCAGCACTCATCGGACTGAGAGAAGACCAAATAGCTAAGCTAGAAGTCATCCAAAATAATGCTCTCAGGACCATGCTCGGAGCACCCATGTGGACCAGAATTTGCAAATT